GTGATGGAGATTTACCGCTGATTACAGAACCGGCTTTCTGACAAGATGCGCGTTAAATATCGCATGCGATTAATCGTGCAGCCCTAATATAAAGGCAGTCCCCGCGTCCCAGTTCACATACTATCTGCCCTAAATAGTATTCAAGATTAATAATCCAGAAACTATTTGGCACGGATAGTATGCAAATGGGGAGGCAGGGACTTGTTTTGTTTGTGAATGAATCAGCATTTTGAACAAATAATTATGTAAATGATTCAGTGACTCACTCATGAAGAGTCACTTTTTTTTCCAGAATGAAGTGTTTTTGAATTAATCACTTGAGTAAAGGATTCAAGGACTCACTCATATAGAGTCACTTGTTTTGTCCCTACAACAAATCTGCATTTTGAATTAATCAGTTGAGTAAATTATTCAATGATACAATCATAAAGATGCAGAGGTTTTGATTGAATCAGCTGAATAAATGATTTGATGTCTCATTAATAAAGTCAGCTGGCATATCTGTAATCTGCAGAAAGAGTCACGGACGGAGTTTTAGATGACCTCTACTTCATGTCACAGAATTAAAAGCTTTTTATATTTTTAGTCAGATCTATTCATATAGTCTTGACTGGTGCCTTTGAGCGTCTCATGATGCCAGGGGCGTAGATTACATATATTTATTTATTTATTTATTTATTTATATTTATATATATATATAACATTTCTGTCCCCCTCACTTCTGAAATGATGGCTACGCCCCTGCATGATGCTGTTAGAGCACTAAAGAATAACTTCTATTTTTTACCTTGTCCCTATACACTCCCTGTCCTTTTTCAAAAAATGCTTCTCAGGAAATGGAGTAATGGACCCATTGCACTATCTATGCAAGTCAGGGGGGAATACAAAGCAACAGAAGTAGGTTCACCAGCACTTTTGAGAGAATACGCTATTGAAAATGGTCAAACATTCTAGGACGTCATAAGCTAAACTGATGCTTACTGTTCGAAAGCTACATCTGTAGTTCTAGCTTAAAATAAATTATGCAATTAAATGAATTCATATGATTCAGAATAGCATGGAAATGACCATTGTCAGTCCTGTAATTAAGCAGGAATTACCTGTTGCGAAGAACCAAAGAACATTTGCTTTGATACAATTAGCCAGATTTACATATAAATTACGCCATAATTCTTATTTGATCACTGTAATAATTATGCACCGAACCTGGTCAAAGGAACATTGTCATTTCCCCAGAAACTACGGTGGAAAAAACGTGACTTGTGCCATTAACAAATGAGGAAAGAGCCTTTTTTTGAGCCTTTACAAAAAGGCTCATCGCTATGCACTGTCTCCAATTAGCGGCCACACTGTCAACAAAATTTGAATTAGAGTCAAAACGCAATGCATTGTCTAGCATTTTATTCCCCTTGTTGTCTGTGTCTGCGTGTTGTGTCACAAGATTAATTATGTTTGACTTGGCCTTAAGTTAACGTTGCGTTGCTGTCGTGTCAGGAAAGCTAAAAAATACACCGTTGTTTTCGCCTGACAATGTGACCTCCTTGACCTTGGCCGCTATTCATTTACAAAGATGCAGAAATTCAACACAATCTTGCTGTTTCACTATATATGTTCTGTTATCACATTCCACAGGTGTTTTGCGATTACCATGGTCACTCCAGGAAGAAGAATGTGTTTCTGTATGGCTGCAGTATGAAGGAAACCCTGTGGCAATCTGGTTCTCCCATCAACACAGCCTCCCTGAAAGAAAACCCGGGATACAGGGTACGCTTACTGCCTATAATCTGAGTTTTTTATCCTATGAAAGTTTTATAGATCATTTGGCTCCAGCCACAATGAAATCTATAGTGTCTCAATAATGTCTCGAACTTTGCTCTGATTTGCCAAAATACCAGTCTGCAATTAAAAGTCAGATTTCAATATGGTCTTGATCATTTCTTATCAAATTCCGAAATTATTAGAGCTAATAAGGTTGCATTGCAAACAGCAATATTGTGAAATATTATTACAATTTCAAAGAACTGTTTTCTGTTTAATATATCCTAAAAATGCAGTTTATTCATTTGATGACAAAGCTGAAATTTCAGCAGTCATTACTCCATTCTTCAGTGTCACATGATCCTTCAGAATTCATTCTAATCTGTTTATTCTAATAATTATCTATATTGAAAACAGTTGTGCTTCATAATATTTTTGTGGAAACCATAATGGGTTATTTTTTAAGGATTCTTTGATGACCTGGAAGTTCAAAAGAACAGCGTTTATTTGAAATAGATTTTTTTTCTAATCAATTAGATCAATTTAATGCAACCTTGCTGAATGAAGTATTAAATTCTAAAGTACTAAAAAAAAATCTTACTGTCCCAAAACTTGTGAATGGTAGTGTGTTACCCACATTCATTTTACAGCTCTATACTCTTACTGTACATTCATTCTCATTTGTTTCTATTTTTATTGCTCCTACTTTAGGAGAAACATCTGAAACAAAGTTGGTTCTTCAAAGTCGCACAACTGAGAACTCAATTACATCTCCTGAGCTATGAAAGAGCAACCTTGCAGTTGTTTTACAGCTATTGCTGTATCCCCATAATCTATTTTTGCTCTCACAGGAAGAGCCAACAATGCATGATATGTTTTAGTGCCCTAATTTTATCATTATATCCAGTTATACAGTGAGCTAGGGCTGGACGATATGGCCAAAATTGATATCACGATATATTTCTTAATTTCGGTCGATACGATATAATTCCAATATCGGTCAATTCCCTTCAGAGATACATTCATATAAAACACCCGCGCCGTGTTATGATTTTGAAACGTGCAGTGCTCATGTTCAACGAAGTCAAACGGCACAAATAAATCAATGTATGGGAAACTGGTAATGTATATCGAAATATCGGAAATGTGTTTAAAAATCATATTACCGTTATTTAAAAAAATTATATCGCGATACATATTGATATTGAATTATTGTCCAGCCCTACAGTGAGCATACTTTTTGTCTCATTTATTGTTTTCTGATTGGCACAGTTGTTTCCATCCTACATTAAACTTTTATTTGTGAGCCAGTTTTTGAAGTTTGGTGCTAAAGGAGTTTCTCCCCAACATATAGGCTGTGGCGAATTGAGTTAAAGGATAGTTTAAAGGCATACGTAAATCTGTGGAATCTGTAATGTGGAAAATATTGCGTCGCTAGCTGCTGTCTGACTGATGTCTGCCATCTATGCAAAGAAGTCTCTTAAACTAAATATACACAAAACTAGAACTGAAAACAGTGGCATAAAAATGCAAATACAATGAAATACATTATTCTTTTTCAAAACTCATACATTGTTTGTATTGACAGACTATCGCTAAAACTCTGGACCGAATAGCTCCTGCGTTCTCCTTCAACAGCTGCAACTATCTGGTGGAAAAGTCTCGGGCGTCCACAGCACGGGTGGTCGTTTGGAGGGAGATCGGAGTCTTCCGAAGCTACACCATGGAAAGCACTTACAATGGCTGCAATCAAGGCATCTACAAGGTTAGCCCTTTTAGCTGAAATGAATGGTTAATTTTACTTTCCTGTAGTTTTGATAAATGTCACTAAACGGTTGCATGCAGCATTATAACACAAATATTGCAGTCTTATTCACTAACCTACCATAAAACAGTTGCTAACCACGTGCTAGATGCTCAGTGTGCCATATGAAAAAAGAAAACATTGAAAAAACAGTTCAAATCGTAATTTTTGAAATAAAATCCAATTCGCATGCAATTAATATAAAGGGCAGTCATTTTTTGTTTATAAAAAAATATATTTGTGGACTCTACCATTCAGAAGTTTGAGACAGGGCTCTCAAAATACAGTATAAACAGTAATATTGTGAAATATTTTTACAATGTCAAATAACTTTTTTTCTTTTTTAATATATTTTAAAATGTAATTTATTTCTGTGGTGGCAAAGCTGCATTTTCAACAGCCATTACTCTAGTCTTCATTGTCACATACTTCTTTAGAAACAGTTGTGTTGCTTAATATTTTGGTGGAAACTGATTCATTTTTTTCTGTATTCTTTGGAGGAAAAAAAAATCTTATTGACCCCAAACTTTTGGTAGTACATATTTTCTAGCTATCATGGCATCAAATGACGGAGAAGAGTATTGTAAGCTCCCTCATATCGAGACATACAGTATAGTCCTTTTCATTCATTTTCGTACAATGTAACTTTTTATTGTTGGTGAAACATACCGTTTTTGAACTGTTCGGCTGCAAGCGCACCATTCCAAGCCTAGCTTAAATCCGACCTTCTTTTCATCCCTTGGCATTCTCCATCTGGCCTTCTCACAGTCTTCCTCTTCTCTAATTATGCTGTCTGAGGGACCTTCCCTCGTTTTCCCAGTTATTCATTATCTACTCGTCCTCTCCCCCATCTACAAGTTTCATAATCATTCATTAACCTGCTTATTTAGCCACATGCGGTTTTCCGATCATATAGCTTAGATACCTGCATATTAGCTTCCCTGAGAATTAACTTTCAGAAGTTTCTCCTTTTTTATTTTTAAGTCTATGTACGTTTTATGCAGAGCTTTTACTTGGTTTGGTAGCCAGTTGGACGGCACCCATCCATTAGAGGCAGTGGATGGGTGCCGTCAGAATGAGAGTCCAAACAGATGATAAAATCATCACAATAATCCACACAACTCCAGTCTATCAATTAACATCTTGTAAAGTGTAAAACTAAAATACAAGTCCTTTATACATAATTTTCTTTCTCCACTGAAAAGGTTGTCTTGTCTGAATCAGGAGACCATTTACAAGTGAAAACAGTCCAAAACAGTTCTAAGCGAGTCGTGTGTATTACTTGTGGTTTATTGTGATGTTTTTATCAGCTGTTTGAACTCTCATTCTGACGGCACCCATTCACTGCAGAGGATCCATTGGTGAGCAAGTGATGTAATGCTAAATTTTTCCAAATCTGTTTCGATGCAGAAACAAACTCTTCATCTTGGAAGGCCTGAGGGCGAGTAAGTTTTAGCAAATTTTAATTTTTGGGTGAACTATTCCTTTAAAGGGACTTGGTTTGGTACTCAGCTAGCTTAGCAACCAGTAGTGTTATACACGGCCAGACTTGGTAACATTAGAGATACTGGCAGATGGTATTTAGTCAAAGTAGAGTGATTCTAACGCAGTGACATTTGCAAACGTTCTGGGAGGTCTGGCAGCCCTTTAATAAAGGACAGGGTGCTGAATTACTCTTGACCATGGACTGCACCTTTAAAGGTTCTGCAAGTAAGAAAAATGTTTTCGGAAAGTGCTAATGATTGAGGAATAAGGTCTGATATGAGAATGTCAGCTCTTGAGGGATACATTTTATTAAGTTTAAATCCTTATTCCCTGTCAAAATTGTACATGTAGCTCAAATAAAACAGAGACAGGATCTGTACCAGCTAACAGGTGAACATATGGTGAGAACAGCCCTATTCTTTCCTCAGTAAGACAGGATTGACTAACAAGACCTTAGACTTGGATTTATCCATCCGTGTTTGCAATCCAATTTCTGTTATTTAGCTCAATCTACTGTTTTGTTCTTATGTGTCGGTGTTAGATCGTCACTGACATTCTGCCTAAAAGTTTGGAGTCTTGTCTTGACTGTTGATGTTTAGTTTGTACTTTCAATGAAGCTGCCAGCCAAGCACCAGTCAGGGGTTTATTTATCAGAGTAAAGGCAGTGATGTACTCCTTGTCTTGTTGTTGTGCATCTGGGACGTTAATTTCTCTCCCTGTGCTGGTCAGATGCAGTTTGCTTTCTTCTTTCAAGACAGTATTGCATGGAACAGCCTTCGTCTCGAAAGAATAACAAACCTGTACTCAACTTCAGCAACTAAAAAAGATACTGTAATGAAGTTTCCATATTTAATTCATATATATATATATAAAAAAAAATAAGAGACCACTCCAAATTTTTTCTCAAATCAGCATCTCTACATGTATGGCAGCCATTCCATTGTATGTTGAATTCCGACACAGGCACACCTCATTCTGCTTAATGAAGTACTGATTAGGTGATCACCTCAACCAAATCTTATTTAGCAAGGAAAAGTATAAAAACCACTGCTGTGATCATCACTATCCTCTTGCAATAGGACCAGCTGGATGGCAAAAACAGTGATAGTATTACCTCAAAGGTAACTGGAATCAAATAATAACTATTGACCATACCAAAAGACTTGAAATGAAAAGTTTTGAGTGAGGAAAAGAAGGGTTCAATTCTGGCTTTACTGGCAGAGGGATACAGTGAGTGTCAGGTTACTTCCATCCTTAAAATTTCAAAGACAGTGTTTCAAAGGAACAAGGTCAAGCTGCAGACATTGGGGACAACAAAGCTACAGACCAGCAGAGGGCAAAAACAACTGACCACTGGATGACCGCCAACTCATTCGAATGTCACTCAACAACCGTAGGATGACATTAAGTGACCTACAAAAAGAATGGCAAACTGCAGCTGGGGTGAAGTGCATGGCGAGGACAGTTCGAAACGATAGAAAAAGATAGAAAAAAAAGCCCTTCATCAATGAGAAGCAAAGAAAAGCCAAGCTGAGGTTTGCAAAAGACCATAAGGATTGGACTGTAGAGTACTGGAGTAAGGTTATCTTTTCTAATGAGTGCAATTTTCAGCTTTGCCCAACACCTGGTCGTCTAATGGTTAGACAGGCCTAGAGAGGCCTACAAGCCACAGTGTCTCGCATGATCTGGGGGTGCTTCAGCAAGGCCGGAATCGGGCACATTCGTCTTTGTGAAGGGCGCATGAATCAAGCAACATACAAGGTTGTCCTGGAAGAAAACATGCTTCCTTCTGCTCTGACAATGTTCCCTAGCTCTGAGGATTGTTTTTTTTTCTTCTATCAGGACAATGCTCCATGCCAAACAGCCAGGCCAATCAAGGTGTGGATAGAGGACCACCAGATCAAGACCCTGTCATGTCCAGCCCAATCTCCAGACCTGAACCCTATTGAAAACCTCTGGAATGTGATCAAGAGTAAGATGGATGCTCACGAGCCATCAAACAAAGCCGAGCTGCTTGAATTTTTGCACCAGGGCTGGCACAAAGTGACCTAAGAGCAATGTGAAAAAACTGGTGGAGAGCATGCCAAGACGCATGAACGTTGTGATTGAAAATCTGAGTTCTTTCACCAAATATTGATTTCTGAACTCTTCCCAAGTTAAAACATCAGTATTGTGTTGTTTAAAAATGAAAATGAACTTGTGTCCTTTGCATTATTTGAGGTCTGAAAACACTGCATCTGTTTTGTTATTTTGACCAGTTGTCATTTTCTGCAAATAAATGACAATTTGTTTATTTGGAATTTTGGAGAAATGTTGTCAGTAGTCTATAGAATAAAACAAAAATGTTCACTTTACTCAAACACATACCTAAAAATAGTAAAACCAGAGAAACTGATCATTTTGCAGTGGTCTCTTAATTTTGTCAAGAGCTGTATATTTATTTATTTAGAATTAAAATATGTAACTGTAATATAACTCTAGCATATAATTTTATAGAAACCACATAATATATTAATCCCATTTCATAATTATATATTTACCATATATTTGTTTATAAAATGTCTCTTAGAAGGTCATTAATTTTTTTTATAGTTTTGGAACAAAATATGGTATAAATACAAATTGTCAATAATCCAAAAATAAAACAAACAAAGATTGTCAAATATTTAAAAAATGATATGATAATGCAAAAATAACAGTAGAGCATGAATATAGTTTTAATAAAAATGTATTTAATGTGTAACTCTAATATAACTTATACATACACACACACACACACA